TCTCTCTTCCTCTCTCAGCGCTTTCTCTCTCCATCGACCACAACCACTCTCTTTCTCCCTCTACTGCGAAAACCTAAGCATACCTAAGCATACGCTCTCTTTCTCTCTCTGCAGTTGATGTTAGAGTTTGGTGAAGGGGTTCTTGAAGGTGAAAGAGAGGGTTTCTTCGTTAAATGCTCTCTCCCTTAAACAATCTCTCCGTTCCCTCTGTTTTCATGTCTTCAATTGACGTCATTCTCTTCTCCTTTGCTCCTTTTAGGCCTCACAAAACCCTAATTCTTGGTTTCGGTTCCGACTTTTTTCACATACTGCCTCCTCATTCTCAATCCTCACAGGAAAAATTCGTGCTTTTCTTTAGGTGTTTCTGGGATTTCCAACTCGGTTTTGTGCGCAAAAAAAGAGTGATTCTAAGGTGGGTTTAGTGTGGGAATTTATTGTGGTGGGAATGGCTATTCCATTATAACACAACTTTACCTCACTAGGCCCTAAATTAGCTTTTGAGTAATAATGCAGAAGTAAATTTGTTGTTATCATTGCTGTTTCAGCATCTAGTAGAATATTTTGCACCGTTCTAGTCTTAATGGTTAATTATGTGATTTTGAAATACTAATGTTAATTGGCTTGGGATTTTTCTCTTCCCTGTGCTATAAAACCTGCTAAATTTTGTTGTTATTCCTTGTTTGCAGCTTTTCATTTTTGGGTCATTCTTTGAAGACAAGACCAGGTCGTTGCTACAAAAGCAATCACCTGGGAAGGCTAAAAAACCTGTGGAAAAGAATGTTTTGCAGTTTGGGTCTCTATATTTTGGTACTATAATATCTTCAGGTGAATGTAATGGTGAATCAAGCAGACCACAAAATTCTGTGAAAGGGCTCAGCAAAGTTCAGCCTTTAAGTTCACTTAATAAGCAGAATGAAGTGGAGGATGTAAAAGCAGCAAATGATAGTTTACCAGCATCTTTAACTACTCCTACAGAGAGTTGATGTACTAATAATTATAAAAATGGCTCTACCCATAGTAATGCCGTGAAAGAGGCAACAACGGATAATATTGATGTAGTGTAAGAAAGGTCAGACATGTAGTGCAATTTTGTTACTTTGTGATTCTCATAAATCTTGTATTGATAGGTAATGGTTTTCCTTCAGTATTATTAGGCTTGATTGATAATTCTCATGCTTTACAATTTGTCTGATGGCTTGAAAAAGTGCTACTGCCTGACATAGCTCATGACTAAAATGCCTGTAGTTACAGTGTCTCCACTTACCTATGTATCTCTGACTCTGTTTTTTCCCTTAGGCTGGATTAGCTCTTGGAGAGTTGCGAGAGGAAAATAATTTCCTAACAAGCCTTTGGCTAGTAACTAGTCCACCTTCAAGTCAAGAACATCTTTTACATCCTCAACTTTTACAAAAGCCTCTCCCCCCATTCCTTGCTCGAGGGTATTTTGACGATGTAGGAGTGTACAATGTGATTCCATTAAGGACGTCGTGTCCTTTGTGTAATATGTTGTAGATTATGAATATATAGTGGGAATGTGGAGTTTTTTTATTGCCATTGTATTGCTCCGTTATTGCATTTCTATTGTCATCGTATTGCCATTGTAGTGTTGTGGTATTGCCTGGTTATTGCACTTATATTTGTTTCTTATCACCTGTTTTTTCAAGTATGTC